ATCATGCTGCCTATTATCAGCATCATCGTGGTCATCACCATCATCGTGAGACGAAGCACCGCCCTATAGAACGAGACAAATGGAAAAATTTGTTAACTCATAAAATACTACAAACCCTAAATCGAGAATAAAAAATAAGACTATACCTGCTAAATGTAAACCACTAATATATTAGTGAAGATAGATTAACGTACTTGTGATTTCAGGCAAGCTAAAATCCAACCAACAATACATTCCTCAAACATTTTCATTGTGAGAGTCAATGACTGAATTGAAGCCTTCAATTCTAACATGTCTTTCTAATGTCTACGTATGATCCGTCGTAGCTAACATTTCGTGACGACTTCGTCATTGACTCTTATTGAGTAGGTCAACTGTAATAACATATATTACTGTGTTATTCAATAATCATATATGGAATTGTTTAACATAAATCCAAAGAACTTTAATATCCTTACCAACTGCTCGTTAGCAAGACTGATCAGTGGTTAAGGAGCTGTCGTCACCTCCATCAACTATAATAACAAAAATTACTGTGTCACTCAATAAATATATGTGGAAATGTTGAACACAAATCGTTAGAACTGATCTTACCGATAGCTCATTAGTATTGTGTGTTTGAGAAAGACCCTTTATTGGTTAAGGAGCTATAGTCGCATGGTCCAACTATAAATACAGATACACTATTCGATAATCACATATAGAATTGTTGAACCAAACTGTTAGAACCATCTTTACTGACTGTTCACTAACAAGGCCATGGTCGTCCCTTTCCTCCATCAACACAGGGCTTAAAAACTCATCGTCTCCATCAAAGGTAGTACACCTCTGTTTCATGGCACTAGTGGCTTTTTTCTCCTTCAAGTTTCTCTTTTTTTCCTTCGCACCTAAACCTTAGTCCGTTCCATCCTCCATATGCCCTATTAGCACATGCTAGTAGCCTTCAGATAAAGAGACATCGATGTCCACAAAATACTCCCGTCTGGCCTCATCCAAGGTGGGCACCAAAGTTTCAAGTGCCCACAGCTATAAAATAGGTATTGTGATTAAATTTTAGGAAAAATTATTATACAAATTCACAGCACAAATTAGTAGTTGTTCACTCACATGCTGATATGACTCCAACTTCTCAATGCCTTGTGGAAGTCTTTCGGCTTCTAATTGCATTGCCATTTGCACATATGTGGGTAAACGTTGTCCTTAAGAGCAGAGGAGTAACTATTTTTCAAAAGGCCAGAATTGCCTCAATTGCCTAAAACTACAAGTTAAATGTAACCATTATCAGATCGTAAATAGTAAACTAGTGCAACCATCAATTATTATGCTAAAAGAACATTGACAAATGTTACGTGATGGTACTTGTATTACCCATGCAAATTAGTAAATGTTGTAACGTAAATGATTATCCTTCTGCAAGTTTAAGGTAGGCACTTCAAACCCCTTCAATAGGTAGTCCTCGGTCAACCTCCAAACATAGTGACCTCAGGGGAAGGCATTCCAAGCATCGATGTCCTCCACCAATGATAAAAACCAAAGCATCACTCATCTACGATAGTCTTAACCAAATAAAATGTTATTCGTGATCAAGACAAGTGCCATCTTAGTTACGTCTCCTAGTCGTTGAAAGTTGCCTCCATGGAATGCATCAAGCAACACCTACAGCTTAACATTCTACTGCTCGTTCTAGCATCTCGCATGAATTTCATCAAGAACAACCTTGTATGGTCATGTGAACATATCAAGCATTCGACCAAACTTCAGTCTGGTGATAAGGTAGAACTCTTACTTTGATATAGATGCCTTGCTCTTGCCAATAACAAACCAGAGCTCATGGTCCATTGACTTCATCTTAGTGATTCGACGAATCATGATGTTATGTAAGAGACCAGCATAAGAGTAGCCTTGTGGATATACGTCCAACAACATTTCGAAGCACGTACACTTGACTACATCGTATTTTCATTTCTCTTGGATTGTCTTGTTGATGTAATGCAGTTATGACCACTTACAGTAGGTGTTAACAGAGACCTTGAACACCCACTTATCCCTTGGCACAACAAGCAAACTATCAAGATCATCATACTGTCTAGACTGCATTTGCAAAACATGGCAGACATGCACAAGTGAATTAACCCATAATGTGCAACATGGTATACTGAAGAAAGAAATAAATGTTGTTACACGCAATGAATATCAATTAAATTGTTGGTACATGCCATGCATATCAAGTAAAATGTTGTTACACTTCATGAATATCAAATAAAATGTTATTACACACCATGCATATCAAGTCAAATGTTGTTACACGGCATGCTTATCAAGTAAAATGTTGTTACACGTTAAGCATCCTAAGACAAATGTGGTGACACGCCAATGTTGAGCAATGTCATGACATGCCAACCAGGGTGTGTTTACTATCTCGTTACACAAACTGCTCCTAAATACCTAATGTGCTGACACACTAACCATGGTGTGTCGTGACATGTCAATCATTGTAATTACTGACTCGTTACATAAATTGCCCTAAAATACCTAATGTGGTGATATGCTAAAAACCCCAAAAACTAGTTAACCCATTACACACCATATCAAATGTTGTAGTTCTCTATCTCCATAATTTACCTAAAAACCATCAAACCATGAAGAAAACAATTAAAACATAACAAATGCAAGAACACGAACATATCAAAGCAACCCAGAAAAAAAATGAATGAACAGAAGAAAGTTTTATTTTGAGATTGACTAACCTCTTCACTCATAACCAACATTGTTGCTATGATGTCGTTAAGCTTGCAATGAATGAAGTCGAACACTGTAGTCACTTTGGAAATGAGGAATGAATCAAATTGTCTTAGTTCATTCGCACAGATGTTCGCAAATTATGAAAAAGATAAAAAATATATAAATAATCAAAATGAAATGGCCTTATAATATATTATAAAATATTAATTCATTCAGTGAAAGTTCAAACGGTTTCCTTGTTATTTGTTTGCATTTTTTTTTTTTTCTATTTCAAACCATGGCGTGTCACATATTCAAGGCATGGCATGTCACCTGTTTAAGCCATGTCGTGTCACACATTCCCACCATAGCATGTCACAAACTCTAAACCCTATCATCTCACATATTTTCACCGTACTGTCTCATACATTATCACCCTATTGTGTCACAGATTCCCTTCATGGCATGTCACAAACTCTAAACCCTACCGTGTGACAACCATGTGGCATATGTTTACCATGCCATCTTACACATTCTCATCATGGTATGTCACAAAATCTAAACCTCGCCATGTCACAATCGTGTCACATATTCTCTCCATAGCGTGTCACAAACTCTAAACCCTACCATGTCACATATTCTCCCTATGATGTGTCGTACATTCCTATTATGCCATGTCACATATTCTCACTTTGCCATATCACATATTCCCTCCATGGCATGTCACAAACTCTAAACCCTATCGTGTCATAGTCATGTCACATATTCTCACCATAACGTGTCTCACAATCCCACCATCTCGTGTCACATCCCCACCATGTCTCATAACTATGTCACATATTCTCACCATGACGTGTCACACATTCTCACCATCCCTTATCACATCCCCACCATACCATGTTGCATTCCCACCAAGCCGTGTCACACATTCCCGAAACGCTATTTCACACACTTTAAACCTTGTCATGACACAGCAGTGTCACATATGTCTTACAGTAGCACAACCATTTCGTGCTTTGGATTCACATCTTACTCTTTTCGATTCACCACCATATCAGAGATTTCTGGTTTCACATCATTCTTGAAGCTTTGGATTCATCACAATCGGTTCCTCATTCGGTTTAATATCACCTTTCTGGTATTATCTGAATGTTATGTCTGAAATATCTAAAAAGCTATCTCCTGCAATATGATTTTGTTTTGTACAAGCTTCTTGAAAAAAAAATGGATGTTTGTACAAAATTAGAGGGAACAAATTCTTTGTAGATTTATTTTTCCCATTTTGCGCTTGTATGAAAGTGGGAATCAATGAAGAGGTCTCATTAAGGGTATTTTTGTTCCTAAATCTCTTCTTTTGACTAAAAACAATTAAATTTATCTGGAGGGCCATTTCTAAAAACACTTTACATTTAAGGGTTTAAAAAAATTTTCAAAAAATAAAAAACAATTGAAGCATTTTTTTTCTTTTGGTTTTAAAATTTTACTTCATCATATGTCAAATCATTCACTCAATGAATGTTTTCATCGGTTAATGTCCTATTAGCTTAATTAATAAATTATCGTATTAAAATATAATTAGATGAAAACAATTTTTATTTTTATTTGAGACTTGATAACCGAATAAATATTTATGTGCTTCAATACATACGAAAATAGTTCAATACCTAAATCATGAGTTGTCCCAGATAAAGAAAAAATGAGGAGAAATTAAACTGATATAAGAGATGAGGGCTACTCAGGCTAAATGTGAACGACTCCTGATAAAGGATTTTGCTTTTTAGTCCTATGATCTATTTACTTAACCATAATTTTCACCATCACCTGTCTAGTGCAGTCATTGGTATGAACATGTAGTCTATTATAGGATTTGGCAAGTGCAGATCATCAGAAAGATGAAAAGTAATTACCAAATAACCTGAGAACTAAAAACAAATCATTGGGTGAAAGCTTTCATATTTGTAATTATATTTTTTTTGGCCACTTAAAAACATATAGAGTATAATTTGATTAATATGTGGCAAACAGCAAGACGTACCCGAGGTTAAATAAAAGGGGAAAGGGCTAAAAATAGTAAGTAAACCAAGCCCCAACTTTACCTATACGTACATTGATAAAGTTAGACTGTAATTGGTTGAAAATTTGGTTGGGTGTAGCTTTAACAAGCACTCTGTATAATTGGTTTCGAACCACAAACAAGAAAAAGTCACTGTTGCTCCACAAGAATTCATCATTTGTAACCAGAAAAGGAAGAAATCCAGATACTTGTTAAGGGAAAAACCATGGGTGTGCAGTTGAATATTGGGGTTATATCATTGTTACTTTTGTTCACTTCAACTGCTAAAGCTCAATCTGATGTTTTCGATGTAGTTGCCAGGTATGGCGCAAAGGCTGACGAGGAGACAGATTTGAGGCAGGTAAGCAAAAATGCAGCTAATTTATTCTCCAAAGGTGAAGCATATAGAATTTTGTCCTAAAATTATTATTATTATTATTCTTATTATTTTGCCTTATAGCCTTTGCTGGATGCTTGGAAAGAAGCCTGTGAATCGACAGCTCCAAGCAAAATTGTGATTCCTGAAGGATCGTACTTGTTAAGCCAAGCAGCCTTGGAAGGTCCTTGCAAGGCTCCCATTGAGCTTCAGGTTCAGGGCACCGTGAAGGCTCCGGCAGATCCTAGCGCTTTCAAGGAGCCTAATTGGGTTGTCTTCAACCGCCTTGATCAGTTTACAGTGTCTGGGGGTGGAGTTTTTGATGGCCAAGGAGCCACTACTTGGGGCAAGAACGATTGTGTTAAAAACAAATATTGCGCCGCACTTCCCATTGTAAGGTTTTTAGCCCTTGTGTTAGTTGGAATCTTAGAATTTGTCCTTTTCCTTCAAACTCTTTTTAGAATTCGTCAAATTAAAGAAATACCGGTTTTCTTTTCTATTTTCTATCTAAATGCTTTTATTCGTGGACGGGAGCCATGAATAAATTTTCAATATCTAACATTAATTCCGCATCGAATAATTAGCAGATTATACATTTCACCCAATTTATCTACCAATTCAAAGTAATTATGTCACTAACCAAATTTATTTCTCGTGGTGCTTGTGCCACTCCAAAACTAAACAGAATTTAAGGTTCAATTTTGTGAGCAACGCTATGATACAAGACATAACTACCAAAGACAGCAAACAGTTTCACGTAAATGTTCTGGGGTGCAAAAACATCTCTTTCCTACGTTTCACCGTCTCCGCACCTGAAGACAGCCTGAACACGGATGGAATCCACATCGGACGATCAGAAGGGGTCAACATTACTAACACAGTCATTAAAACCGGTGATGATTGCGTTTCTTTGGGTGATGGTAGCAAGAATGTGATCGTCCATGGAGTAACCTGCGGGCCAGGTCATGGCATCAGTGTGGGCAGTCTTGGAAAGTTCCAAGATGAAGAACCAGTTGCTGGAGTTCAAGTCTCCAATTGCACACTCACTAACACTCAAAATGGTGTAAGAATCAAAAGTTGGCCAGCCTCCTATCCGGGCACGGCATCAGATATGCTTTTTGAAGATATTACCATGAATAATGTCGGTAATCCTATCCTCATCGACCAACAATACTGCCCATGGAATCAATGCAATTTAAAGGTACGTATACTTACCAAAATCCTGATGAAAGTGAGAAGGGTTAATCACCATTATTTAAGCTTAAGCAATTACTTAAACCATTATTTTGTTTATCCAGCTTCCATCACGTATTAAACTGAGCAACATTAGCTTCAAGAACATTCGGGGCACTTCTTCAACTCAGCAAGCTGTCAAGCTTATTTGCAGCAGCGGTTTGCCATGCGAGGGAGTGGAACTCGCTGACATTGACATTACATACAGCGGACCTGAAGGACCTGCAACATCCCAATGTGCCAATGTCAGTCCCAAACTCAGTGGCAAACAGAACCCGTCAGCATGTTCCAGCCCTGCCTAAGCGAGCCCCACCTCAACCGTTGGTTAATCTCTTTGGAAGTAGGAGCCAATGCACCAGGTTAAGTATTTACTATGAAGGCATCTTTAGGTTTCCGAATAAATGAAATTTTGCTTGTACATAAATCGAGATAACATCTCCTTGGCGAATAAAATCCACTGCCCCAAGTTAGTGTCTCATTGGTGCCTCTCCTCTAATTTAATGCTAAAACGTTACCTAATAGTGTTAATTCACAGCTTTTTGTTTAAAAGCTCCAGCTTTTAGTTTTTTTAACACAAGACTGCCGTTAAGTCACCTGATTTAATGTTAACAAGTTAAAAAGACATGAAAATAAGAATGGGACACCAGCTGGGGTAGGAGATTCCTATTCTGCATCATTACTGTACAACTTTGGTTACATAATTTCTAGGGATATTCAAAATCTTGACATAAATAGTCTCTATAGACTTTTCCTTCTTTTGTTTTTTTTTTTTGGCTTATAATTGTTATTCTCTTGCTAAATCATGAAATATATTATTACTCATACAAGTTAAAAATTAATTCATCAATGGTAGTATAATTGGTTTCAATTTATTTTTTGTTTTCTCTTTTTTGTTTATAATTAGGCAATAAAGGGTAGATTAATTTGTATTATACAACATTAACTTCATGTCTTGATCATACAGGCAAAAACGGCATCATTGTTTTTATTTTTATTTTCTAGTGTTGTTTCCAAATTTGAGAAGAAATAAAGGTGAAAAATTAAAGTAACGAATTGACACTATAATATATATATAATCAATTAATTTGAAGATAAAGAACTAATTAGAGTAACTTATAGTCAACAATCAATTGATCAAAGAAAAAAATAAAACAAAATGACTAACGAATAACCAATATGTATTGGAAAAAATTCAACAAAAAATTCAGAGAACTCTGCAAAAGAATATGTTATTTAATGTATTTTGTTGTTGGTTCAAAGAGAATATTGCAATTTTGTTTTAAACAAAAGAGAAAAGTTGGTATTCAACAATTTTAGTCCAAGCTACCGTAATAGCACTATGGACAACTGAATTCTTCATTATAGTATTCGTGTAGATTCTTAACGAGTCATGAACTGCTCAAATGCTCAAAAATAAGTCATCATTCAATCCAAGTCTAAAACATCATTTTCCACCATCGCATCATTTTCTCTCACTTATCTCTTTGTACCCTGTCCCGGTTGGATATTATTTTATCATTTTAGCCAAGAGAATTCGTCTGTCTTGTGAAATAAAATAGTTATAAGCTATTGAGAATTATGCTATGCCATATCGCAATAACAGCGTACCTTAGAGGACTCTTTCATTGATCACTTTCTCTTTGTCCTATTAATTAGTCTTCAATTTTATATTGCAAATTATTTAACAGCAACTTTGTTCTGATCGCCAAAAGTTCAAAAGCTCCGCATAATATATTACTTGTCTTCTATATCCCTAGTTCTCTATCTTCGCCTAATGATAAAGAAATTGACCATGAAAAAGGGCAAACTTGAAAAGGCAGACCAATCAGCAGCAAACATGATGGAGCGTCTTCCTCAGGAGGTCGTCCTCCACACACTATCCAGGCTTCCCCTAACATCTTTGCTGCAATCAAAGTCGGTTTGCCAAGCCTGGCGAAGCCTAATACAAGATCCACTTCTTATTAGTAAGCATTTCATGCATATGGCTAAGGACGACAATGATCCGCGCTTCATCTTACAAAGCAAGTGGCCTAACCCGGATCAGCTCCACTTTATAGATTTCTCTGCTCATAGCGAAGGGAAGGTGGTCTCAAAGAAGCTTCCAAATTCCGCTATGCTTATGTATTTGGTAGATTCATGCAATGGCTTGCTTTGCATGCATAATACTTCACGAAGCATTTACATTTACAGCCCGTTTACCCAGATTTTCATTGAGCTCCCAAAATTGATTAAGTATCCAGCACGGTTGGGACATTTGGGGTTCGGTTTTCATCCAACCTCGAAAGAATACAAGGTGATCCAGGTAGTATTTCGAAGACAGTTGCGAAGAGGCAACTCGTATGTAGCTACACCTACTTTAATTCAATCTGAGGTTCAGATTCTGACTATTGGAAACCCTGCTTGGAGAAATTTAGGAATGATACCTTACCGTCTTATTTGGCCGACATCAAAGGTTTTGGTAAACGGGAGACTTCATTGGTTTTCTGAGCCTAACTAGTATACGACGGCTAGCTTGCCTGTATCGTTTGACCTCGCAATTGAGCAATTCCAGGAGGTACCTAAGCCTGATTATTGTGGCTTAGACAGGTGTTTTCATCATCTGATGGTTCTACGCGGTTGCCTCTTAACACAGTCTTCAATAAGCATGCATATGGAAACTGTTAATGTATTTTCAAAATAAAAAGTTGTCTCTTTAAATAAAAAGTTATTTTTTTATATTGTAATATTATGTCTTATAAAATGAATGGTTGTCCTTTCATAAGATAATTATTGAAATAATACCTTTATCTAAAAGTTGAATATTGTAAAATGTAAAAGTGTTTTTAAGACAAAGAAGTGTTTTAATAAAAAGGTTATGTCCTTGAGAAGAGACACTTGCAGGTTTACATAAAGAACTTGTTGTCAACCATTTTGACACACCAAAAACAAATAAGATAAGAGCAAAAAAATAAAGTGCAATGAAAGTGTTATGTTTTGAAAACAAACATAAACACTTGAGTTTTCATCATCTATCAAAAGAATTCAAACTCTTTATAATCTACTTACTATAGAAAGTAAACTCTAAGACCGAATAACTTTATAAACTTTCGGATGTATCTATTGGTCTACTCTCGTAAAGTGAAAAACAAAATTAAATGTTAACTCCATTGTATCCCTAATTCTATTCACATTATTCTCTTTTGCATACTAAGTGGTAAGAGTGAAACAAGTCTTAAAGATAACATCTATTGAACAACTCGCTCTGAAGTCAATTTTTTTGATTTTTTAAATTTCCTCTAAACCCCATTTACATCAAAAAAAACTAAAGAGTTCAAAGGGTTGAACCATTGAATTAAACGTACCATTATCCGCATAGATATCAAAATGCTCGACTATATTTTTTTTTCTCAATCAACATAAAATTTTATATATAGGTTAAAGCTTTACAAGTTTTGATATCTCAACAACATGAGATGGTCATAACATTCAGCGCTAAACATCATCCAAAAATCACCAATTAGTTTCAGAAAAGGGAATCAACTTACATTCCCTCTTACCACTAGATAGATCAGTACTTAGCTGGGTTAAAGAATCTGCAAAACAATTAGTTTCTTTAAAAGTACAAATGAAAACAACCTTCCTTATGATTTTCTGTAATCTGTCTATTTAAAAAAAAAAAAGGAAAATCTCAATTGACCCTACAGTCTCCAAGTTGAATTGCACATCCTGCCACCTTAGTAGGACACAATGACAAAAAATTTCATACCATTCCTAGTAAAGAGAGAAAATATGGAATGTAGTTTCCATTGCCACAAGTTCGACATAATCCAATTCTTGAACTCTCAAAGGTTAAAAAAAAATTCCTACAGTAGCACTTAAAGAGTCTCAAAATTCCTCCACATCCTAGGGGATTCTAGTTTTTTCCTAACCAATCCGCGTTGAATATGAGTTCATCATTTCTAGGAGGAGAACACGAAACAGCTTTTGGAAAATCTACATTGTTTTGAGGCATAACAGAAATATATGGATATCTCCATATCCCAATCTCATCAATGACTGCATTTTCTTCATTTGCTTTAATCCGGAACTTAGATTCATTTTAATCATTCAATTAATTCTTCTCGATCCCATCTTGTTCCACTAAAAATTAAATTATTTCTCACAATCCATAAAGATAAAAAAGTACCCGGCATACTGGTTACCATCTTTTTTTTCATAGCACCATTAATGATTAAATGTTTACTTTTTTTTTTTGGACGTAGATTAAATCTTCACTTGACTGTAAAAATGATTTAACAGAATTAGGTACTTCCCCGGCATTGACAGACACAACTCCATTTAATCTGTGAAAAATATAATGAAATTAAAATATGATCATATGCATACGTAGTTATTATTTTCAATAATATCCCTCTTGCTTTCAAAAAAACTTTCAGTAGGATTAATGCAGTCCCAAATGACCAATCATAAGAAACTTTTAACATTTAAGGGGACAATGTATTTTCAAGTAGAAGTAAAACTTAGCTTTTGGACCTTCCGCAATGACTGATATCGCATGACAAATGTGGCTTGCTCACGGATTCCAAAGACAATTGTGCTCAACTGAACAGAAAAGATGATAATTGCCATTTCAAATTGAAGGGCACGAGTGCCTAAGTGAACAAGAAAGCTTTGCTCGGGTTGAGGGAAATGGAGGGAACGCGAAGGGAAAGCGAGTGGTACCCCCACCCTTATTTGGAAAACAATATTATGGAAGGGAAGGGTTACTTAGAAGGGCAGACATCATAAATATGTAAGCCTCGAAAATCCTTACCTTTGCTTTCGATTTGGATTAATATTTTTAATTATGCAGCCAAAATTACCCTTAAATTAAGATATATTTTTTAACTTATAAAACGAGAACATTGTAAAAAGCCATGATACAGTATTTATCATGTCATTTTCTTTTCTTTAACTAAATGAAGTTGATGATTAATCTCTCCCTTCCTTTTCTTCTTTTTTTTATTTTAAAAAAATTCCAAAAATGTGGAACCTTACCCTATACTCCCTCTTCCTCCCTTTCCGCTTATTCCCTTCCCCTGATAATTCCTAAAACAGAAGCGAGGGTAACAACGTAAGTATGGTTATTGTAGAAATTAAATATAAAAAGAAAAAAGAAGGATATGTACCTAGTTGTATAATTTGATATGACCCTTTTCGTTCTTTTACGATTTTTTATAACCATTTTTGTGGCTTCTTGTATGGACAAGACCAATAATACAATCGAGAAATGTACTTTAGTGGATCCTGTTTATACATCACCATGGATGACAATTCCAATTGC